AGACTCTGAATCTTTGCTTCCTCAGCTTTATAAATTATATAATTTTGTTTGGAGTTCTTGCACTGTCCCTCTCCATAAAATTAAGGCAACTGCACCAATGTTCAGTTAGGGCAATTAAATGTAATCACACACTTGGATAATTTTGATACAAGCACAAACATCAAGGGAATCTCATGAAACAAGGGGTACTGGTTCATATCACTATTTTTTTTTGTTAAAAAAAATTACTGTCCTGATAATGAACATTTTTTTAAATTAAAACATGGCGATTATACAAAGATGATGAAGAGTACAGGATAGGGGGGTCAGGTTTTTAATCAGTTTTTTTTCAGATTCATTTTAAGCTAGCAGTGAATCTGTTCAAGCTGAACCAAGAGAGAAGTTGTTAAGAATTCCTATAAGCCACTGCAGTCATAACAACGCTGAACATAGTAGTAAAGTGTGGGCAGCAGCTCTTCTTTGTGTAGGTTCTTATACAGAGCTCATCACTGGAATATCTGAGTGCCTCCCAGTACCGCAGATGATTAACAATGTCACGTGTCAAAGTTATGCGATTACAAAAGGTCATCTGTGCAGAGCAGAGTGCCTTGTTTCAGGAGGTTTTCCTTAGGGGAAGCCAGTGTGTGGGTTTTTTAATATACATTAAAAGCACCATATAAGCACCTAACTCGTGCCCTTAAGCAAGGGCAGGGTGAAAGAATTTAAGTTTCCAGCAGGTCCAAAAAGGTGCAAAGTCTGTGGTGTTTTCTAGGTCCTGGAAGTTTATTGTGAAGCCTAGGGCAGTACTGAGAAAGTTCTGGTCTCTCCTGCTAAGAAATTCTAGCTCTACTGCACCAGAGGACAGCTGTGGTCTACATTACCATTCTTTGGATGCGTAATTACAATTCAAAATCTTCAAAAATTCCTTAGGAATGTAATTACAGAACAGGAGAAGATAATCATGGAAGGAGGGAGGGAAGGAAAGGAAACAAGTGCGGGGAGAAAGAGCACAGAGAAGGGGATGAAACTGGGAATCAATCAGGACACAATGAAGAGACAACTAAAGGGTTACATTGGGGGCGGTACAGAAGAGTCTGCCTCCCTCTGCATGCATGGTCCCTGCAGGATACTGTCTTACACAGTCCAGTGCTGACAAGTATTTGGATGTCTTTGAGGATTTCTTAGTGTTCATGTGTGCTCCTCCTCAGGTGGCAGCATGCACGTAGCAGCATGCCTGTGGGAGCTTTAAAAGCCACATAAAAACCATCCTGCTTCCCTGGCTGGCCCAAGACTGGCTCCTGGACTGAGCCTATGTCAGGGGCTGAGCCTCCGATTTGCCCTCTTCCTCCTCACCCTTCCCCCAATGCTTCCGGTTCTCAGGGATTCTCACTGTTTCCTCTTCGAACAGCTTGGGTTTTTTTCAGCAAGCCCACCAGAAGTTTTTCACAGAGCCTGCCACCCTCTCCCCCCCATCAGTTTCCCACAAAAAATAGCACAATGGAGATATCAGTAGGTCCCTACCTATCAATGGACCACCCTAAAAGAAAATAAATGTCTCAACACACATAAGAACAAATCAGTGGGGGGGAAGGGAGGAGTTAGCAAACTTGTTTCCCTGTTTCTAGAATACTCTTAAGAAAAGCTGCTCTCTGGAGCTTGAATTTTGTTGTGAATTTACATGGATGTTTAACTATGTTTGGACACAAACACAAGATAGTCATCTGTTCCTTTAAAACATTAAACCAGTACACACAATAGCATGCAATAAGCATAGTGTTTCCCTTTCATCCTCAGACTCATGTACTAGACAATGTAGCTTTAAGACAGAAAGGCTGCCTTATTTCTCTAAGATGAGATGATCATTCAAGACTATCTGTCCTTTAAAAAAATAAGAAAACTTATCTGATGCAAAGTGACTTAACAAAAAGGCTCATAAATTACTTCCGAGACTTAACACAGCTGCATATCTTATGGTGAAAAAGCTGAAATGTATGTTTTAATAATCCAGGTTCTACACAGACCATGCCTCAATACAGTAACTGGTCTACTACTTTCTTCCCACCCTCAACCCAAAAATTAGGAGTTCTGAACATGCACTTGACATGAGCAAAAGTCAAAACAACAGGTGTTTAGATTTTTTTACTGCTATTAGCAACCAAAACAAGAAAACCAGAAAACATGCCAAGTCTGTAGACCACAGCTTGAAATTCACTGTGGTAACACAAGTCTAAGATTTCTTATTGCAAAGTTCTATATCAGCTGTGAAAAAAATCACTTAGATCACAGCTTGCTTATTTAAGGATTACAAAAAGGAATCAAAGCTGCATGTACTCAAGTGCTCGTAGAACTGCTTCGTATAAAACATGAACAAAAACCCAGCCCCAAAAACGGAATTCAGGAGGAGTGATACATATAATAAAATAAAGAAAAGAGGAAAACATAGAAGGCAGCATTGAATGAAGTAAAAAAAATAGGGTTTCTTACAGTTAAAATGTCCTGAAACAAACCATGGTAAGGGAGCAGAAGAAAAGGAGCATTAAAGAGTGGAAGGATACGCAAGATGCCACTGGAAAGAAAGATGTGGGGTAAAAAACAAAACAAAACACCTTAAACTAGAGAGAAGGGAAAAATTAACAGGATCTTGGATTCAGAAACCATGTAGCATTAATGAAGGAAGAAAGAGACATAGGTGCAGGGTGGGAGGGTAGAGGCCTAGACAGTAGGGTTGTGCGATGCTTCGGTCACCAATTCAATTCAGCAGCTGAATCTGAATCAAATCAGGAGACCCTTTAAGTCTCTCCGAATCGAATCGGAACCCTCCGAATCAATTCAGAGAGATTTGGAGGGATTCGATGATTCTGACAGACACAGCTTTAAATGTTTTCTTTTTACATACCTCAAGGTACCAGGTGGCTCATCAAGGCTGAGACGGTGGGGCGCATGGAGCGTCCCCAGTGGACTTGGCAGCAGACCCAGAACTGCACCAGAAGCACTTCCGGTCCACTTCTGGGTCCGCTGTGGACCACCCAGGGGACCCTCCCCCTGCACCCCAGCTCGGTGACTGGTGCCTCCTGGGTCGGGGGGCACTCAGGGTCCCCCACAGCTGACCGCCGAGCTGGGAGGGTGCGGGGGGAGGGGGAAATCCCCCACATACTCAGCAGTGGACCCAGAAGTGGACTGGAAGTAGTTCTGGTCCATTTCTGGGTCTGCTGCCGAGCACACGGTAGGGGGGCCTCCAAGCTCCTGTGGGACAGACACTCCATCTGCCCCAGCACTGCAGTGTTCATGAGCCGCGCTGGTACCTTGAGGTATGTAGAAAAAACATTTAAAGCTGTGTCTAGGGCCAAGTTGCCGATTCTCTGAATCAGCATCGAATCTTCAGATTCAGCCAAATCAAATCGGGACAGTGATCCAAATCAACAAATTGAATCACTGTCCCTGATTCAGGCCGAATCCGAATCAAATACAGCCCATTTCACACACCCTACTAGATAGTTGTTTTTTAAATAAGTAAAACATTTTTTTCCAGTTATGGGGAAGGGAAATCTACCTTTTAAGCCCATTTCCATCCGAGCAGGAAAAGGGCAGGTCAGACAGAGGTCCTGCTGCCACAACTATTAGATATGTCATAAGCTTTAAAAAAAAGAATCCAGCTTTCCTCCCACACTATTGTCTTTAGTCATTTTTATTATCATAAAACTTTAACTGAAAGAAAGAGGCAACAAAGCTAACAGGAATGTAATGACCAGACACTTCAACAGCTTATTAGGCACAATACACTGTATCAAATATCTACCAGTATCATTGGTTAACAACCTATGGAGTTTACAATTACAGCAATCAAATATTAAGTAGATTTTTAATGATGCTGAGACATGGACAGACAAACCATCTGAATCACTGATCTCAGCTAAATGAACAGGAGTGAATCTCATTAGACAAACTATTCCAGGCAATTTCACAGCAAGTTTCCTCAGGTGCCAGTCAGCTCTATTAAATAAACCCGAGTCAGTATATTCAGCAATAAATCTAGCACTGCTTTAAAAAAACAGTAACGCTGTCCCAAAATAGGGCCACACCAGCACAATTATTTAAAAATCTGTAAATTTTAATCAGTTTTATCATGTGCACCAGAGAATAGCAAAGGATAGTTGATAATGGACAATTTTTCCATAACCTGCTGGTGTGGGATGTCTCTCCTTAACCTTAGAGACACATGCATTTGTGTGTTTTAAATTCCATAACCTAACCCTTGACATTCTCATTAACCAGACAAATATCTAAGCCTTAAAAAACAAAACCAAAAACCAAATAAATAAAATAACCGCAAAGCAAAATCTTAAAATGTACAAGTCTTAAAAAACAGTGTCTCCAGCTCCTAAAATTCCTGACCTTGATATTGTGACCCTATCACTTGCTCAGTGTGTTTTGTCCTTTTACCCTTTTTAAACATACATTTAAAATAAAATAAGTAAGCCACTTCCTTCCACATCAGTCCTCTGCTGTAAGTGGAACTAGTTCAGGCATTAAAACTGTCACGTCACCAGTTGCTCAGATCGTGTTATTAAATATCAGGCCTATGCACCCTCAAAGGCTAATCCACAAGGTCCACAACACCACTATTTCCTCTTACGTTATACTTTGGAAGAGGTCTGATTTTGCTTACCCCATGGGAAGATAGCTCAATGTAAAAGGTGAGTCTTCAGCAAAGCAAAACTTTTCAATTTCAGTTTAACGAAAAAAAGACTAAAGCACCCAGAACAAATAAAACAAATAAAGTACTTTACTGTAGAAAATAGCTACAGCCTTAGAATAAGAACATTTCCCAGGAAAACCCCAAAGGAAGTGATATGGGGTTATTAAACTGGCATTCAGTTATTTTTGGCCAGCAGAGAAGTGGAATGAATGGGTTTCCAGGGGCAAGTGCCATCTGGTGCTGAAGAAAGCACATACAGTTATAGTCAAGCACTGCATTACAGCCACATTCCCCTACCTCTTATTTTTAAAACAACAAAACTTACCTTGTGGCAAACATCTGCTTTGACTTCTTTAAGAGCACGTTCAGAGAACACGCACCCACAATTCCTCAAGAAACAAAACCTTTCAAAAAGATAAAAATTAAAGTAACTGACACTGCCATTCTAAGAAACTCAGCTTACAAGTAAGAGAAGTTATCTGTCTGAACACAAGCAACGTCACAGGAACACTACAGTGGTAAGGAGCACTGTACCGTTAACTGCTTGCAAGCCCACTTGTGGCTAATCAGGAGAAGTACAAGGTGGACTTTGCTAACTGGTATAAATGATGCTGAAAGCCTTTGCAACAGCTGAGCAAGAAGTAAAAATGATGCAGGCTGAGTCGCATTGCAAATTTAATTTTTTTCGGTTTTTTTGACTGGCGTGCGATCGTTTATTTTTATACTATCCCACTGGGTTTTAGCAGGTTTATTACAATCTCCCAGAAAGCACTGAACTATTGTGGGACTCCAGGTTGCTATGTATCCTCTGAAATTTCAGTGTACCTAGGGAAACTGGAAATTATGAAGTACTGATCCCACTACAAAAGCTTGAGTTCTCATTCTATTGATCAGCCTCCCTTTCAGGACTCTTCTTACAGTAACTATTCACTGGAATGCACAAACTTTAATTCTGAAGCTCACTGGAGGATTAAAAAGAAAAGTCAAATAGAAAGTCTTGTGGGAGATTTGCTAAATGTACACTTCCTACAATAATTTAATCTTCTATATATTTTATACAGAAACACTATTATGTTAAGCCAGTTAATAAGTGTTACTTTTCATATAATCCACAATAATGTTATCAATATTGAAGTACATAAGTGCAAATACTGTTAACTACTACATGAGTAATACCATCATTAAAAGTTCTCTGTCTGTGAAATGCATGAGATTATACTTCCGTCACTTTTGAACAGTGTACCATTTCACAAATTCATTAACAATATTTTCCAGGGTAATATCTGTCAGCATAAGGACTCCCTGGGCCTCTGTACATACAGTCAGAGTTAAGCCTTGTGACAGGGGCAGTTCTGAGACGGATCACTACATCAGTCCACCCACCTGTTTTGCCCAAAACACCTCTGATATAACTAATAAGTTGTTTTTAAGTGGGATGCTTCCCTTTCTTTGCCCTAATACCAAGGGCATCCCAAGTGTCACAGATATGCTACTATCTGTCACTTCTCTGCCCCTCTGGTGCTAGGGCTCTCTGAGCCCTTGTAGCTGCACCACTCTGGCACTAGGGCTCTCTTGAGGCCTCCACCTCCCCTATAACCTCATCTGCAAAACCACTGGTGCAAATACCACCATAAGCATAAGCCCCTGGGCTATAACTTAAACACCTAAAATGACAACAGCACTCTGCCCCTTAAAGGGGGCAAACTTCCACCCTTGAGACAGCATGCCCCTTAGCCTGGGTACCTAGGCCACCTGGAGTTTTACTGCACTTGAGCAGTCAAACAGGTGGCACCAGGTCTCAGGCAGCTCCCTCGTGCAGGAGCTCCTTCCCCTGGCAGTTGTCACAGAGAGGGCCCTGCTAGCTCCTGCCCTGGGCTTATATGCCCCACGGCCCTGCCTCCTTCTGGGCATCTGACTGCCTGCAGGTGCTAGCCAATTACCTCATTAGGCTGTTGCTCAGGCAACCTGCAGCTGTGGAGCTCTGCTTAGCTTGCAGAGCTCCCTGGCCCAGCTGCTTCAGCCCTTAAAGTAGCAGGCACTTTTTAGTGCCTGGGTAGAAGCCTTTTGCAGCGAACTCTGACTGGAGCCCTATACCGCAGCTATGATTTACAGATGAGGATTGTCTCTCCCAAAACTTTATTGCTTTGGCCATGAAGAGGGACTCACAAGACACACAGGCATGATTTAATTATCTGGCTATGAACTGTACAGTGCAAGTCATGTTTCCTTGATTTTTCCAGCCTTTTGAAGAAGGGTTTCAGCCTCCTCTTTTCAACTGGATTCCAGACCTCCCACCATACAAGGTTTAGAAGGGTACCGTGATGACACAGAGTTGTCTCCATACTCCTCATCTTGATTGCCAACTTTGTTAGGGGCTTTTTTGAAGTCCACGTGTATCTGTGAATCAAACTTTCTAGGGAGCGAGTACCCACCTTGGATACTCAATATCTGCTAAACTGTGATGATCTGAACCTTGACACTGCCACCTACTCACTTAGCCACCACTGGAAAGGCTAAAAACCACCCAGGTTCAGCATTTAACAGCAAGGGAAACATTCCTTCACAGTCACAAAGAAAACACGGCAACCAGTGCAGTGCTGAAACATCTTAGAACCCAGACCTGCTCTGATCCTAAAGTGAAAAGAAGTGGATGCTTCTTTTAAAATACAAAACAGTGTCAAGGGGCAGGACAGGAATATTTAACACTGCTCTTCCCCACCCCCACAAGCTAAAGGACATATCCCTAAGATGCTACCAGTCAACTTCTGTGTTCCAGGCCTCAACCTGAAGGGCAGAGGAACCATAAAAGAAGAGGTACCCCTTCTTCCAGCAGCAACAAAAATCTTTGCCAAAAGGGCTGTGGGAGCACCTTGGTTTCTGTAATATTCATTTTTATAGCTCTACATTTGCTACTATTCAATTTAGCAAACTCTGGGGGGTCTTATTTTTAAAAGGTAAATACTAACCTGTGCTTGCCATTCATTTCCAAGCCCACCACAGGGCAAATAAAGCATGCACACTGGATGTCATTATACTTATCCCCTTTTGTATTCCCTTTATCACCATTCCAGGCAGGATTATCAGTAAGATTCAGCTCTGTGACATTCTGAAATACAAAAAAACATAAGTTTTAAGATGTTTTATAATACACACTAAGGCAAACTGAAAAGCTAACGTTTCTGAAGAGATTCTTCCTGTATGCCTTATTATACTAGAGCTTTCCACAACTTTGGAAGTTATGCAAATAATCTGTCTAAAAAAGAAAAACAGGTCCTAGAGCAGCTCCCCATTTGCCAAGCATAACTAACTCATTTGAAAAATAAGAGAAATATTCCATTCTCCCAGAATGGAACTGGAAGTAGTTCTCTCAAGTTAATGTATACAGTATTAGATTTTCACACAGAGAAGTAATATCTAAAGGCAGATATTTCAGTTCTTTGGTGTAATATGGGCAGCGCTCATTTTTAATACAGGACCTCAGCTTCAGGAGGCATATTATCCCAGCACGTACTGCTCTACATTAGACAGTTCAGATGCTTAAGTAGATCATGGTAGAGCAGGCAATGCTTAAAATATCAGTCCACAGAGGCTACATCTTCCAGAGCAGCATTTCCCAATTGGTGTGCCATCAGGCATGTCCAGGTCTGCCACAGCATTTGGGGCTGGAACCACACCCCTTGCCTGCTGCTCCTGCAGACACAGACAGACAGCGAGCATGGTTCGAGCCAGGCAGGGAGCATGGCTCTGGCCCAAAATGCCATCTGGCTGACCGCACGCCACCCCTCCTCCCCGGTCAGTGTCCAGCTGGCTTGACGCCCACCCCTACATCCGGTGTGCCATGGTAATTTTTTATTTAGGTAAGTGTGCTGAGGGGCAAAAAAGGTTGAGAAACACTGTTCCAGAGCAAAGAGAAAAGAGACTAGCTGCTACACTTTATCTATGCTGGATACAAATTTTAGCTACTCAAAAAGTTAAAAATATTGTCCTCAGCTAACAAAAGAATGGACACTGCTATCACAAAATATATAGTCCTTAGTTATCACAGCTATATCTCCAATATTATAACTTAATACATTAAAGCACCACATCAGCCTGATAATGAAATTTTGGATTCATTTGAGGACCTATCAGGATTTACAAATATCTGTGTTACATAGTTTGCAGTTTGAAATGGAAAAGGTATGAGAAGATAACAGAATTAAGATATGTTACTATCTTGCCTTGTGCATAACACTTAACTTTGGCATTTATTTATATTAGGTACACTGGTTTTACCTTAATGCTCCTGATGTGTGATGCAGCTTCCACAACTTTATCAGATGATTTATCAAGTAAAAACTCAATGACGGCCTCTTTGTTATATAGCCTACAACATACAATTTATCATCAGTATTCTGCAACTTTTGTAACCCACATTTATTCAGAACTTACTTTTAAGATCAAGAAATCTAAAGAAAAAAACCCATACCTGCCAAGTTCACAGGCTACAATTGGTCTGCTTAATTTTTCTTGACTCAGAGCGCAGTAGTACCACCGAGCCACTAATTCTGCATTTTTGTCAACCTGAAGAGAGGGAAAAAAGAGA